CTGTACCCCAGTTCTGTATGCATAAATAAATAAATCTTAAAAAAAAAAAAAAAAAAGGAGCGGCTGGAGACGAAGTACAGCCGTCAATGCGGTGGCCTGTGGAGAAATGCCCTCCTCTCTCCATCCCCGGGTGGCAAGGGCCATATATGGACAGAGGTCAAGCCCAGGGTGCAGGCAGCCACTGGCCACACAAGGCAACCCAAGCTGAGATGTGGTGCGGGAATAAAACGCACATTCAATTTCAAAGACTTGGCAGGAGGAAAGGTAAACTAGCTTATTCATATTTTTGATATTGATTGCAGGCTGAAATATACTAGATATATTGGGTTAATACACATTAAAATGAATCTCACCGGGTTCTTTTTGTTTTTTCCAATATGAACACTACAAAAATTTCAGTAACATACAGTTTGCACTGTATTTCTACTGGATGGTCCTGCTCAGCGATCTTTCCGTTGTTATAGGTAAGATCGAGTAGTCTGACATACCTAACAAGCCAACTAAATTAAGAAACTAAAACAGACTGTCCTAATCCTGAATAAATTAGAAAGAAAAATTGGTCTTAGATAATCTTCCATGCGGATCCACGACTTTGAAGTGTTTCCTTTTTTATAAAATTGACATGAATTGATATGATTTAAAACATTAAGTTCATTACGAAGTTTTCAAAATTGGGAAAGCCAAAGAAGAAAAGTCACCGGCAGTATCCCTGAAACAAAGCATCAGTATTTTGGTGAATAGTTTCATATTTCTCTATATGCTGGTGATCTAAAACTTCACATAAATGTACTTTTACCACATATTTCCATCTGTGACACTTTTTGCTCTATTTTGAATGAAATTACATTCCCTAAGCAACTGCACATTACTACCACCCCCAATTATCAATTTTAACGGCTGTATCATGCTGCCAACTCCCTACTGTCAGAATTTGATTATTTCCATTTTTTAAAAACTATTAACAGGCCAATGCAGAATCTTCTTATGCTTTTCCCCTTCTCAAATGATTACCATTTCCTTAAGAAAAATCCTGCCAGGGGACTACTCGTGTATTTATCTGCCCAACTGCCCTCAGAAGCTGACCGCTTACAAAGGGTAACATCAGTAGGGCACCCCGAACCATGCACCGTTCTAAATATTTACCATTTAATCCTTGAAGACTCTGTGGAATGAATCCCTAGGCCCACTTTCAGCTCAGGAAGGGTCATTTGCCCAAGGCCACACAAAAGACTGAACATGGTTTTACAACCCAAATTTTTAACCAACAGTCTGGCAACTGTGGTAATATAATCTCAAAAGGGGGGGTCAGGTAGATCCTGAGCAGCGAGTTAGGCTCTCCCCTCTCCTGCAAGCAGACTGGAGTCACCTAAGGGATGGACGTGCTCTCTACCTCAGGAGTGCGCTTTGTTTCACAGTGACATGACCATGCCAGGGTAACAGAGGTTAACAGGCACTTGGGCTTTTCTTCTTCTAGCAATGGTGCAGAATTTCCATCTTGTCTTTAAATGTTGGGGTTCTTGTAAAGACTCTGCTCTTTATAAATAGCTATCCCATGGAAAAGTCATGATGGTGAAGATTCAAGACCTCTGGAGGGAATACTTGGATAAGCAGTGTTCCAGGATGGGCAAAACCCTCGAGGAAACAAAAACCCCTGGGTCCAGGCAAGATGATAGTAGGTCAGTACTGACCAGTGGAGAAGAACTGGCTTCTGACATGCAGTGGCCAGCCATCCATCCACTGATAACGAGAACCAACGGAGCAGCGCCTGGAGTCCATGTGAGCAGCTGGCTCTGCCGACTGTGGGCCCCCTTACTCCCCCCCCCCCACAGTGGTCAGTTGGGTGACATCGCTGTCCCACACCTGCATCCAGGAGCACATGGTCCCAAAGCAGTCACCCAGAAAGCAAGAGGGCTGACGACCTGTCAACCTAAAATAACAGGCCACTGGCAGTCTCGGCCCTTCCAGGCTTCCTCTGAATTCACCTGTGGGCAAGAAAACATCCCCCACCTGTCCGTCTATGGCCGGACTGCAAACACTTAGACCCTGCTTACCCCCTAGTCGCTCACTCTAGTCGGTTCCCAGAACAACCCTGCTGGTACAGGCCCAGGCTCCTGGTAGCACAGCCAGCAGGTGGGGGCAGGGCTGGGACTCCAGGATACAGGACTGTCGGATGCCGCCGGGCCGGTCCTCAACCTCCCTCACTCCGGTGTCAAGGTAGCATTTAACTCGGGAAGTTGGGCTCCAAGTCGTTCCTAAGAGTCCCTCGCACGGGCTCTGGCCTCCAGGCCCGCTCGGCCAGCTTCGGGGAGGCACCATTCCCCAAGACCGCGATCAGGCGTGCGGGGGGCGGGTCATGACGCTTTTCTTCGGCGCCCTCCAAGGCAGGAGGGAGCCGCGGTTCCCCCAAAACACCCGCCCCACAGCGCATCCCGGATTCGAACGCCCCGCCGAGCTCCGCCCGCGG